TCCAGACGGCACACGGCCCGATAACACGATGAAATCTCTCTCTCTTTCTCTCACTTTTTAAAAACAATATTTTTATCTCTCCTCACATTCAGTTGTCTTCTCTCAGTCTGCCACACGTATTCAGTGACTTTCAGTTCAAGGCAACTTTTTTTTTAACTTATTTAAAGTTAAATGATTTGTTTTTGTAAATGATAATAAAGGAGAAGAACAAACGAACGAGTGAATGAATGAATGTATCACTGCTGATGATGAAACGTGTCATAAAAGCTGTCATTGGTCTCTCCACAGATCACAAACACAAACTAACTTCAGAGTTTCTGTTGTTTATTCGGGTTTTCTTCCCCTCTGCGAACAGCAACACTCCTGCGTGTGTCCTGGATGAAGGGATTGGGTTTAGGAATGGAGGTATAAATTGGATTTAAAAAAATCTTTTAGTTTTATGACCATTTTACACCCTTAAGCAGGATTTATCTGTCATTCTATCCATCATTCTTTCTATCATTTTATCTGTCTGTCTATCTGACGTTCTTTCTATTGTTCTATCGCTCTATCTGTCATTCTATCCGTCCGTCTGTCTGTCATTCTATCTATCTAGTCTCTGCCGTTCTTTCTATCATTCTGTCTGTCTGTCTTTCTATTGTTTTTTCTGTCATTCTATCTATATATCATTCCATGTCTGTCTGTCTATCTGTCTGTCTGTCCTTTATTGTTTTTTGTCATTCTATCCATCATTCCATATCTATCTATCTGTCTATCTGTCCTTTCTATTGTTTTTTCTGTCATTCTATCCATCATTCCATATCTATCTGTGTCTGTCTGTCTCTATCTATCTGTCTATCTGTCTATATATCTGCCTGTCCTTTCTATTGTTTTTTCTGTCATTCTATCCATCATTCCATATCTATCTATCTATCTATCTATCTATCTATCTATCTATCTATCTATCTTATCTATCTTATCTATCTATCTATCTATCTATCTATCTATCTATCTATCTATCTATCTATCTATCTATCTATCTATCTATCTATCTATCTATCTATCTATCTATCTATCTATCTATCTGTCTGTCTGTCTGTCTGTCTGTCTGTCTGTCTGTCTGTCTGTCTGTCTGTCTGTCTGTCTGTCTGTCTGTCTGTCTGTCTGTCTGTCTGTCTGTCTGTCCTTTCTATTGTTTTTTTCTGTCATTCTATCCATCATTCCATATCTATCTCTCTGTCTGTCTGTCTGTCTGTCTGTCTGTCTGTCTGTCTGTCTGTCTGTCTGTCTGTCTGTCTGTCTGTCTGTCTATCTATCTATCTATCTATCTATCTATCTATCTATCTATCTATCTATCTATCTATCTATCTATCTATCTATCTATCTATCTATCTATCTATCTATCTATCTATCTATCTATCTATCTATCTATCTATCTATCTATCTATCTATCTATCTATCTATCTATCTATCTATCTATCTATCTATCTATCTATCTATCTATCTATCTATCTATCTATCTATCTATCTATCTATCTATCTGTCTATCTGTCTGTCTGTCCTTTCTATTGTTCTATCGCTCTATCTATCATTCTTTCTATCCGTCTGTCTGTCTGTCTGTCATTCTATCTATCTATCTAGTCTCTGCCGTTCTTTCTATCATTCCATCTGTCTGTCTATTGTTTTTTTTGTCATTCTATCTATCATTCCATGTCTATCTTATCTATCTATCTATCTATCTATCTATCTATCTATCTATCTATCTATCTATCTATCTATCTATCTATCTATCTATCTATCTATCTATCTATCTATCTATCTATCTATCTATCTGTCGTTCTACCAATCTGTCTTTCTATCTGTCGTTCTGTCTATCTATCTGTCGTTCAATCTATATCTGTCGTTCTATCTATCCATCATTCTGTCTATCCATCTAACTAATGTTTTAAACTCAAGGGTTGCAGGTTTGCTGTCTGTTTGTAATATAGTGTTCTGCTGCATCCTTCAAACAACCAAGAGCTGAATCTTCACAGAATCATGAATTACATTTCAACATTTTCGTTTCAGCACAGGATTTGACGGACTATCACTTGTAATCTCGCTGCAATTTATTTTAAACTCTTTTATGCTTCATGAACAGCGCTGAGCTTTAATCACAGATGAAACAAACTCTCAATATATTCCTGCAAAATTGTTTTCCCTGATTATGCATTGTAGTCAAATGATGTCCAAGTTTAAAGTGTACACTAAAAAATATTTAGTATTATTTATATACTATTATAGTATTTATTAATGTTTTCAATTAGCTTTTATCTTATTTTAATTTGAGTTTTTTTTAATGTGCTTTTGTTTCAGCCTAAATATTTCCATTAGAATTTAATTTATTTCTTATTTCAGTTTAATTTAGTACTTTAGTACTGAGCTAGTTGCCAAGGCATCATTTCTAGTTTTAAGTTTCAAGATTATTTGTCCATCTAATATTTAAATATTATAAATAATATATATATATATATATATATATATATATATAGTCAACAGTAACAACACTGATCTTCAGTTCTTTCCTGAATTTCAAATCTTCTTTCACAGTCCCGTGTGTGATACAGATTTCTCACAGTCATGGAAACCCCAGAAATATCAGCGAAACCGGCTCGGAAAAGTCCCAGTGAATGTGTTTTTCTTGTTCTGCTCAGCTAATTGGGTGGAAATTTAATTTTGAAATGCCTATAAAATGATTTGGAAAAAAAACGAGATCATTGTTGATCTCCAGCTTTGTTGATCTCCAGATTTTGGGAAGCTTCCAGGATCAATCCACAGATCTTCTCCTTTCTTGGAACTTTGCCTTTTATGCAAATGAAGCCCAAAGCATCATCCTTAAATGTGTCATACCAGGAAGTGAGTGCCGGCATTCTGTTCTGCAGAGAGAGAGAGAGAGAGAGAGAGAGAAAGAGAGAGAGATAAGAGAGGTTAATGCGGAGCTGCTCAGGTTAACCAGCTAGACTGTGTGTTCGGGAGCATGGCGACCTCACTGACCTCCAGAGGTCAAGCGCTCCATCACTGAAGGGATGCGTCCCACGCTGAGCTGAGACAACCTTTCAATGTCATTGCTCCAGGCTCTGCTCTCAAGGTACGCTTCAGTCTCTGCATTGGCTGGCTTCAGTTCCACGTCAGCGTCAGGGATAACAAGGTAAGATCTGCTAGTCTGCAGGACTTCTGTGAGCCTCATAATGTCTCAATAATGCTTAAGGAGGAAGATGACTTGCTTTCTGATGGTGGAAGTGCTCAAGAACTGATGCAGTTCTCACAAATGAGCTTTCTCTTGTGTGCGAGTGATGTAAATGTTATGAATATTTCTAAGCAGAGAGCATACAGATCTGGGATTTTTTTTCTCCCCTCGTTTAACCCAGAAATTACTCTTTTTAAGTCATGTTTTAAGTATTTCAGCATTTCTAGATCACTAAACCAGCAAATTTTCTTTTGCTTCTGTTATTGTGTCATTAAAACATTACATGCAAACATTGTTATTAAGTAATATGCAGTTACCATAATGATATATTCATAATCATCATTGTAGGAAGCGCATGAAGCTATGTATTTATTTGTCACTTATTTTACATTAGTATAATCTAAAATATGTGATATTTATTAGATATTTTTGTTTTTTTAATGTAGTGCTGATTTATCTTTAAATCTAGATATATCAGCATTAAACTCTCCTATAGCTCTCAAGCATATAATATAACAGTCGCAAATTATTATGCTGATATTATAATTTGTAACAAAAATGTGGAGTCAGTCTTTTTTTTATATATCCCCACTGGGTTTCCATGCATTTTATCTGATTATTGTTAACACTTTGATGGCCATCATTGCAGCTAGCATCAACAGTAGCCTATATGTTTGATATAGAAATAATTTTTATCATTTTTGCTGCATTTTTAGTAGCACGAGGTTTTTTTTTTCTCTATGGGGTCTCTGTATATATCTCTCTATCTGTAATTCTGAAGAGATTCAACAGGTGTGTGTAAGCTGCGTGACCCCAGTGGTTGTCTTAACTCTTGAGAGCGGCTGTAGGGCAGTGTTTGTGCCAGTAGGTGGCGCCACACATCAGCCTGACTCGGAGCGCACTGTTGCCTGTCATTGAGCGCATCCTCTACCGTTGTGACATCATAACGCCATGATGACGACATCTGCATTTTTAGACAAACGTGCCAGACTGTTTATGCGACAATAGTAGCTTTAAATATTTCCAGCCATCTGTTTACGCACGTGACCTTAGTCATTTACAGATTTCTGGATAAGACTTATGATTGATCGCTTCATCAAGTCAGCACTGTGAGTCTGTGAAGACAACAAATTAATACAAACGAAACGTCCTCGTATGCGTGAATAAAGAATGTGTCTCACACATTTATCATGCTATTATATGTGCATGTTAAAACATCAGCAATCCATTAACATTTGTCTTTATTGTTAGGAGGATGTTTCCAACATCTGCCTCTTATATAGGCCTACTGCTAATTTTGGTAATGCATTGTTTTCATTTTCTCGCAGTTTTTAAGTTTTAATGATCCAAATTGTGTTATTAAAATATTAAAGTGTGACTATATGCAAACATTGTTATTAAATAATGCGCAGTTGCCATAATGACATCATCATTTTAGGAAGTGCGTGAAGCCATGTATTTGTTTGTCACGTGTTTTATGTGTATATGTTATGATATGTCATGACCTTGAGCACAATGCCTGAATTAGTTGAATAACTTTCAACCCTGTTATCATACGACATATTATTTGACAATATAGCTATAAATTACGCAAGGCAACATTGTTTAGCCTATCTGTTAAGAGTGTTTAAAATCCTATATAACTTATTGAAATGGAAAATGCACTCAGACTCAGAGAGTGACCCAACAAACAGTTAATAAACTAAAAGCTGTTTCATTTTGTTGGCAAAGAAATCACGTAGGTCTCACTCTATCTCTCTCTCTCTCTCTCACCCATCATCCCTGCTGATTGGTTTCCCGCAAAGATAATTACAGGCCAAATCTGATCCGCTGAATGACATGGACCGGAATGAGCTCTCGCCCGGTTCGGATGTTGCCATGACGAAGAAAGCGGCCCATAAGAGCGCGCCTCCGTATCACTGCGCCGGGAAAAGCACCGCTAAGAGTTGCCTGGAGTCCAACTCGGATGCCGCCTCCGGCTCGAACCCGAAACCCAATCACGTCGCCACGGAGGAGACGGAAGATGGGGAGGAGGAATCCAAGTTTCAGCATCCGAGACTGAGGAGAGCAGGTGGAGGAGGGAGCGCGCAGCAGATTAGAGGAGGAGGAGGAGGAGGAGGAAGAGGAGGAGGCGCGTCTAGGAGCTCCACTTCCACTGATGCGCGCCCGGGTGATGCTGCTTCTGCTGCGGGGCGCCACGACACCGTTAAGGGCGGAGGAGGAGGAGGCAAAGCGTCTACCGTAGTGGCCACCGTGACGGTAGAGCCTTGTAATGCTGCCGAAGGCGACGGCAATCCCTCAGCACCGCTTTCCAGCATGAAATGCAACAAGAACGGGGAGTGCAGGCGGGACTCCGGCACCGGGAGCCTCCGGTCCATCATGTCCAAGACGGACGGGTTTAAGCGGACAGCGTGCAATTCAACGACCAGCGTTGACGGAACCAGCACGCAGGGGCAGGACGCCTCGAACAACCCCGGCTTCCCGGAGAAGAAGGATTCCAAAGTGTCCTTTTCCAACACTCCCAGCAGGAAAGCCTCGTCGTCGATCCACGGCGCACAGCAGCCCCGGAACTCGGTGACGTTCCTCAAATCCGAGGATGGCGGTCAGGAGGACACCGAGACCCGGGACAGCCGGGACAGCCAGACGAGCTTCATGCAGAGGCAGTTCAGTAGCATGTTGCAGCCCGGGGTCAATAAATTCTCCCTGCGCATGTACGGGAGCCAGAAGGCGGTGGAGAAGGAGCAGGAGCGCGTGAAATCGGCGGGAAACTGGATCATTCACCCCTACAGCGACTTCAGGTGAGAGAAACTTTGGACATGTTGACCAAAAGCGACTGGAAACGGGGTCTGTGCATGGGTCAAAAGGTCTAGACTGCTTTTCTTTCGCTTGCATTTGAGGATTTTGGAAAATTGTTATATCTTATGCATAAGAGATATTGGTCATTAATAATAAGGTCTCACTCACTGGTTAGTGCAGACTAACAATGCACAATACATTTTTACAGCACTATTAACCTTTGATAATGTTAGTTAATAAAAAAAATGTCATGTTCGTTTTAGTTCACTACCTTAAACTGATTATTGTTCATTGTAGTTCATAATGTTGCACACATGAAACCTTATTGTTACCAAGATCTTGCATAATTGTGACATGATCATCAGGTTTTGTTTATGTCAGCTTCAGTGCTGCTGTCAACAGATGCATTTTCAAATTAATAATGAATACATTTTTTATCATAAATATTAGTGGTGTCAGACTTTTGAACCCCATATTTCCCGAACCGTGAAGCAAACCCCATCACACAAACCTGTTGAAAAGTAGATATAAAGCTAAGCATGATTTGACTGATTTATGACCCTTTCAAATACTTTATTGGTCATCACTAGTCAGTTTTGAATATATTTTGCTATGTTTGTGAAGACCCTCAAAAGCAGCCAAACCTGAACACACGAGTATTATATTATTCTCTCATAAAATTGAGGTATGTTATCTATCCAGGCTATTCTTACGGTTATAAAAACAAAATAAGCAATAGCATTGTGATTTTAGACTAAGCATTTGTCGTCCAGTAGTTTTCATGCCGAGTTAGATTTATTTTTAACCGACTAGATCAAATTTGGTTGACGAGAAAACCATAACAATGTGACACCAAATACATTGAAGCATGTGCTGCATTAGATTTTAACATATTAACATTCATTCTGAGACAATCTGATTGCCTCATGGTCACATAATGCATAAATGTCAAGTGATACTGATAGGTTTTAAAATATTGAAGCAATAAATACAATTTAGGCGTGTGCCAAACTTTCAGTCCAGTGTTATTCTACAGAGAGTTGGTCATGTTGTCATGTTTCAGCGCCACAGTCAGTCTATGATTAGCATCTAATGAAAACTACTGGAAGACCTCACACAATCATTTATGCAACGTGCATAAGTATTATTTTTGTAACTTTAAATGATTATGTGGGATGTAAATCATCGAAGGCCCCAGAACCTGAGCTGGAGATGAGTTGTTGCAATGCATTATGTGCTTTAATTTGCAGTGTTGAGACTTTGTTTGGGTCATAATGTCTTTAGATATTAAACTGCTGTGAAAATGTGCAATCTTTGCATGCAAAAACATACACACATCCTTATCATGTTGCATCATCTCCGCATCACTAATGCATATTTTTTCCAACTCCCACTCCATTCAAATGTCATCTTGCCAGTTCTCCGAGACGATCAGCTGTGCAAACCTCGCAGAAAGAGACGGCCATTGTTGCATCAGTCTCCAGTTATGAGTCAGCATGCACCTTAGCGCTCTGTCTGCTGTGACCTTGAGTTGCACACGTGTGCAGCACCACGTGGAAACCGATCATATCCGCTCCATGCTTTATTTCAGACCCTCAGGAATTGACTCACACCCGTCACAGCCGTTTGAGACTCTCGAATATCAAGGGTCTTGTGTGAGGTTTTCGGCGCTCTAGCCCTCCTTACAAGGTCAATATAAAGCCTTCTCGTGTTATAATGCATTGCTTCATTGCAGCGCTAATGTTATTGATTTATAGTGTGCAAAACAAAACCTGTTTAATGTACCTTATGTGGGTGACATGCATGCTGAAAGCATTATAATCCTCACAACACAGTAATATTCATATTCATTATTTAATGAATAATCACATTAGAAATGTTTAATGTCATTAGACTTATTAGATTGAAAGAATATCATCAGAATATTTCTCTATGCATTTAAAGAAATAAATCGAATAATCGACTCATTAACTCTCATGCATGGTTTTAAACAGAAGCACACGTGATCTGCAAAATGTAGGTCATGAGAATCTCACAAATGCAGGGCGTGATGTTTCTTTAAATGTTTGTTAAAAAAAAAATGCTCCAAATATTTTTTTTCAGTAGCTCGACTTTCAAGCTTTCAGTAATGCTTTGCAATAAGGTTAACATTGGAATTTGTTAACTTGAACTAACAATTAAAATACTTCTAAAGCATTTATTAATCTTAGTTAATTAATTTCATAATTTACTAATACGTTATTAAAATCTAAAGTTGTATGTTAATATAATAATCATGGACTTGAGCTGACATGAACTGACAATGAATAGTTGTACTTTTATTAACTCATTTTAACAAACATTAATACCTACTATAACCCAGGTTTATTACACTTTATTTTGATAGTCCCAAGTTTGATAGTAACTTTGCAAATACAGTACATGTCATCTAGCAGTTATTAGAGTATTAGTAGACAGTTAGGTTTGGATTAGGTGTTCAGGTTAGTAGAATAAGTTGGCATATAGTTGCAAAGTTACTTATAGTTAGTAGAATGTCTAAAGTGTTACAAAATAAAGTGTTACCCAAATGTATTGCTCATATTAATATTAGTTAATGCATTACTCATTAACAAAAATTCAAATGTATACATTCATATGCCAGCTGTCTTTTTGAGTTTTCTGAAAAAAGTGTCTTCCCCCAGTTTATGCATGTACACGATGCTTGCAATATGGGATTATGAGTGAATTCGGATTAATATTGTAATAGTTTTGTGCAGGTAAACACAGTCATTCTGAGGACGCAACTATACAAGAACATCAAGCCAGCGTTTACACATGTTCAGTAGTGAGATCGCAGGGTGAATCGGTGCTAGATAAAGTCTCTCCTGTCTCTCTTGCAGGTTCTACTGGGATTTCACCATGCTTCTCTTCATGGTGGGCAACCTGATCATTATTCCTGTGGGCATCACCTTCTTCAAAGAAGAGACCACCACTCCGTGGATCATCTTCAACGTGATCTCCGACACCTTCTTCCTCATGGACCTGGTGCTCAACTTCCGCACGGGCATCATCATCGAGGACAATTCCGACATTATCCTGGACCCCAAGACCATCAAGAAGAAGTACCTGAAGACCTGGTTTGTGGTGGACTTTGTCTCTTCCATTCCGGTGGATTATATCTTCCTGATTGTGGAGCAGGGCATAGACTCAGAGGTGTACAAGACGGCGCGAGCCCTGAGGATTGTGCGTTTCACTAAGATCCTGAGCTTGCTGAGGCTGCTGCGTCTCTCTCGGCTGATCCGCTACATTCACCAGTGGGAAGAGGTACGTCAACAATCTCTCAAATATACTGGAAATCCCATCAAATGCATATACACAGAGCTCCATAGTAAGACATGTTCCTTGGTCGACATATTTTGTTAATCCTAGAACAACATTCCTGTCCAAAAATCTTGTCCTAACCCTAATTTATCCCTAAAGCAGAGGGAAATGATATATGAATAACACTGATGGAGATGCTGAAAGACTAAACCTGACATACACTGCAAACTTGTATCTCAAATCTGATTGGCTGATTGAAATGTTGTTTCAGGATCAACAAATATATTTATCCTGGAACATGTTGCACTTGGTGAAATCAGTTTCACCATATATATATCATACCTGTTATAAGCCCATTTCCTCCACGTAAGAAAATGAAATCATGCCATAAAAGGTTGAAATTGAGATATTAAAAAGTGCAAATTGTGATAGAGAGTACAAATGATGAAATGACATGAATTTCAAAACAGTGATAAAAGGTTGAAATGATCACATAAAAAGTCAAAATTATGACATAAATAGTTGAAATAATGACATGAAGTCATAATTATGATGACAGTCAAAATTATGTCTTAGTTATGTTTTTTGTCATTTATGACATTGGCTACGTTCACACTGCAGGCTGAAACGACCCAATTCCGATTTATTTGCCCCTATGCAACCTGTATCTGATCTTTTCATGACAGTCTGAACGACACAGATCCGATCTTTTCAAATGCGACCCAGGCCACTTGGGTATGTGGTCCAAATCCGATATGTATCCGATCTTTTGAAATGCGACTTCAATCTGAACGGCCAGGTCACATGTATCCGACCCGCACGTCATTGATATGCGACAAACGTCATAATTCTGCGTTGAAGTAGGCGGGAATTGACCGTTGAGTACTCTTCTGCGCATGCGGGTCACTTCTGGGTCATTTCACGTTCACACAGGAGATCACAAAAGGTCGCATTTAATTGGAAATGTGAACGGCCTTGCAAAAAAATCGATTTTTTAAAAAAAATCGGAATTGAGCATTACTCAATTGGCTGATTGAATCTCGCACCTCTCGGGGGTGCGAGAGGTCCCGGGTTCAGATCCCGGACGAGCCCCCGATTTATGTTACGACCCGGCTCAAAGTCATAACATAAAGAGGACAATTCACAAAATGGGTTTCAATATAGAAGAAAATATAATTTTATTTAAAGTTAAACAAATAATGTCTAGGGTCAAAACATAAAGTAATAATAGTAAATATCAACACAACATCAAATCAATAAACAGTTAAAAATGAAGTTTGTGGAGTTGTGGAAATCATATGGGAACACAAACTCAAGAACCCACTCTTTAAACAAAGTCACAAAACAAAAATGAGAGAGGGCTAGACAAAATCCAGGAGCTCCTTAAATAGGTTGCCACAGGTGCAGTTGATCTTCATTAGGGCAATCCCGTCCTCCAAGGAGGAGTTAGTCCTGGAATTCTCACCAAGAAAAAGAAATTAAGAAAAACAGGGGCAGGGCTGTAACAAGCCCCTGCAGTGTGAATGCAGCCATTGTTTCCTTTTTATTCCACAATTTTGACTTAATGACATAATTAATGGCAAAATTATGACTTTATCTTATAACTTTTGTCTTTTAATCTCATAATTAAGACTTAGCATGTCATAACTGTGTCCTTTTATCTCACAATTATCATTTTCGTCTCCTCGTTATGAATTTCTCATACTTTTTTTTTTTAATAATATTGACTTTTAATGCCATAGTTATGATTTACCAAAGCATGAACAACAGGAGTGGGGGGAATTTTCTTAGGTGGAGGGAATGGGCTTTCATAGTTAAATATACAATCTTAAAATGTTTTTCAATTAATTTACGCCACGTTCACACTGGTGTGTAACAGAACTGCACACAGGCATTAACTGCATGAACTCTGAATGAAATATGAATCTGAATGAAATATGAACCTGAGTGTCAGGGAAAGTGGAGGGTTATTCTCCAGGTTGACACAAATGGACTGCGGATGTCTTAATAGAAATAGGGGACATGAAACGTGCGGAGATGTGCCAATCTCAGCTGGCACAGTTGAACCACGAGTCTACCGAGCCAAAACACTCAGATGTTGCTCTTTTATACATCAGGAGGTTTAATAGACTTTTCAGTTCACGGGGACCTGTTATGATCATAAATGTGTGTATGTACACAACCATCCTATAATGGTAAAAATCCACCCACTGCTTGTTTTATATCCCCCTTAAATAATAAACCGTGTCTCAAAACGTTTGCATTTTCTGTGCTTTGTGACATCACAATGCAACAGGCCCCGCCCACAACATATTAGCTTAGCTCCTCCCCTGAGTCCGGCATGTTTATCTCCTCTATAGAGCAGCTAGTGGAAACACAAGAATGTCTCATCTACGTGATAAACAATCAAAATGTGTTGTATTAATGAACATAGGATGCGCTTTTTCACTTCACTGCGCTACTTTTCTATGTAAATGTGCTGGACGGATGTGTTTGAGCGTTGAGCTTGCGTCTCGCATCTTACAGTGTTCTTAAAACTTTGCTCTCAAGTTAAAAGAAGTTGAACTTTTTAAAAACGTGTCTTTACACCTTGCGTTTTCCTCTTCCCGCGTCTAATGCGTGTTTAGAATAATGGAGAAAAGTTCTGTGGAAACGGCCCCATACCGTTTCTCCTGTTTGGTTGTTGCCGGAGTATCCGAGGCACGAGCTGTAAAGGCACAGCCCTCTTCTGGAAAGGGGGGGATGGGGAGCAGCAGCTCATTTGCATTTAAAGAAACACACACATACGTGATCTGTGGTAGCCTAGAAATCTAGTCGCACCCTAGCGGCAGCAGCAAGTTTTATTTTGCAGCAAGGGTGGTCTAGCAACTCTCCTTTGGCTTTGGAGGTGGAAAAACCAAACTCTAGTCAGGCCAATCACATCGTGTATAGAGTCGGCGGGCGGGCTTAAAGGGTTAGTTCACCCCAAAATGAAAATTCTGTCAGTAATTACTCTCCCTCATGTTGTTCCAACCCCGTAAGACTTTCATTCATCTTCGGAACACAAATTAAGATATTTTTGATTAAATCTGAGAGCTGGATCACTCCTCCATAGGCTTCTAAGGGATTGAAACTTGCCGGCCCAAAAGTTATGAAAGACATCGTTAAAATAGTCCGAGTGACTACAGTGGCTCAATCTTGAGTTTATCAAGCGATGAGAATACTTTCTGTGCGCAAAAAACAACAAAAATAACGACTTTATTCAACTATTCATTTTCTTCTCTGTGGGCCTCGAGATTTCACGTAGTGTAACTGCGCAGCGCTTCTGTGTTGTACGTCACACGCATCACACACACATGACCAGCGTCGGCCAATAGTGAGCCTGTGTGTGATGTACAACACAGAAGCGCTGCGCTGTTACACTACGTGAAATCTCGAGGCCCACAGAGAAGGAAATGAATAGTTGAATAAAGTCGTTATTTTTGTTGTTTTTTGCGCACAGAAAGTATTCTCGTCGCACAGAAAGTATTCTTGGAGTTAAGCTTTTCTTTGAGAAAAGAACAAAGAACGGCACTTAAGTCATTCTTAAAAAAGAAAGATGTTTTCGTAGTTTTGCCGACTAGATCACCTAGCTGGTGGGAAAACGCTCTGGTTGGTTGTAGCGCTGTCGTATTGCGTGCAGAGGGAATAAAAGACAACCCTTTATCCCGGGATGGATGTGGGTCTGGCTTGCCAGGCTAGATCTGTGGGGGAGTTTCATAGGTCCCCTTTAAGTTTTGTTTAAGTGACCAGATCTTTTCTTTGAAGTCTAACAGATGATATTACATACATTTCCTTTTTGATTTTTCTGTGCTATGGGCATTGGGCACAGATCCCTGCAGAGAGCAGACGGGGACTTTAACACTGATAAATTGATCTCAAACGTGTTGACTGTTGTCTCATCAAGGTCCAGACAGGCTCAAGTGGAGATCTGATGGCGAAGTCACGCTTTTGTCTGTAATTAAAGCTCAGTGTCAAAGCCTCTGTCAGTCAGTGAGGCTCTGAAACACTGCGGACGGACGCGGCTCATGACTGGACGTCACACTGTATGGAAAATATGCCGATGTACAGGTGAAAGTCGTGCAAAAGTTCATTTATTTCAGTAATTCAACTTAAAAGGTGAAACTAATATATTATATAGACTCATCACATGCAAAGTGAGATATTATAAGCTATAATTTTGATGATTATGGCTTACAGCTTATGAAAACCCCAAATTCAAAATTAAAATATTGTGAAAAGTTTTCATAAGCTGTAAGCCATAATCATCAAAATTATAACAAATAAAGGCTTGAAATATCTCACTTTGCATGTAATGAGTCTATATAATATATTAGTTTCACCTTTTAAGTTGAATTACTGAAATAAATGAACTTTTGCACGATATTCAAATTTTTCGACTTTCACATGTATGTAATTTCTGCATGATTTTGCTGACAATATATAATTAAGCAGCATTATGATGATTTTAATGCAGCATTGGAGATCACCTATATGCTAATGTACTTCTAAACGTTGACAAAATAGCTGATATACAATTACAATTTACAGTTTTTTTTCTGAGAAAGTGTATCAAAATGATTGACTCAATTTGCTCTCATTAAGTTTTGATGTTTTTGAGAACAGTATTCACTTCAGGAGTCTCATTAGTAGCAAAAATGACTTGAGTTTATGGGTTTGATTGATGGGTTTGGTTTGGTGAATTTATTTAAGACTCAGTATTTAAGATTGAATTATTAATCTGTCTGCGTGACATTTGAAAAAAAAATGCTTTTGGTAAAATATATACACTACCGTTCAAAAGTTTGGGGTCAGTAAGGTTAACAAATAAATAAATTATTACTTTAATTCAGGAAGGATGCATTAAATTAATCAAAAGTGACAGACAGTAAAGACATTCATAATTGTATAAAATATGTATATTTCAAATAAAAGCTGTTCTTCTGAATTTTTCTATTGATCAAAGAATCCTGAAAAAAAGTATAACAGTTCCCACAAAAATATTAATCAGCAAAAAACCTGTTTAACATTATTAATAATTTATAAATGTTTCTTTAGCAGCAAATCATCATATTATAATGATTTCTGAAGGATCATGTGACACTGAATGATGCTGAAAATTCAGCTTTGATCACAGGAATAAATTACATCTTAACATATATTCAAATAGAAAACAGTTATTTTAAATTGTAATTATATTTCACAATATTGTTTTTACTGTATTTTAATCAAATAAATGCAGCCTTGTTGACTAGAAGAGACTCCTTTCAAAAACATCTTTGACATACATAAAACATAAGAAAATGCATTGTTATCGTGGTATATAGTTTTATTTGTCCCCCAGCCATAATAGAAGCTGTCATTCTCACAATGACAGAAAATAAAGATCTCAACTCATACAATAATTAGTTTCAAGACAAGTAGTTGGTTCGTAATTAACACCGACTGCTCGGTGCCACTTAAATCCCTTAATAATTTACGTTATTGACACTTATTATGCTTTTAGTGTGATAATCAGCTATACCCGTTCAAAAGAAACAGGAAGACATTAAGAGTCTTTTGCTTTGGGACACTTTAGATTATCAGTGTGAGTTTAAACGTTCCCAGTGGTAAGCACCTTATTTGACTTGGAAAATAGTTTGTTAATTAAAAACACGTTAGGCTCCTGTTGTTCATCAATAAGTCTCGATCCCTCCAGATCTCAGAGAATAACCTGCAGGTCTAACGATAGCTGTCTGTTATCCGCTAAGATGCGGATGATCAGGTGGGCCGGCGTACAGTCACGGGTCGCTACTCTGCATAATTATGAGCTGGTGATTGGTCATTTGTCTGCAGTTTACAATTAGACCAATGCTGTACAGATCCTTGCCTTGTTAAAGGATTAGTTTACTTAAAAAAAAAATGTTTGCTGAAAATTTACTCACCCCCATGTCATCCAAGATGTCCATGTCTTTCTTTCTTCAGTCGAAAAGAAATTAAGGTTTTTGATGAAAACATTCCAGGATTTTTCTCCATATAATGGACTTCAATGGGACCCAAACGGTTCAAGGTCCAAATGACCGTTTCAGTTCAGCTTCAAAGGGCTTTAAACGACACCAGACGATGAATAATGTTCTTATCTAGCGAAACGAAATAAAAAGCGAAATAAAAAAGTTAAAGTTTTATAAGCACAAATCCTCGCCTTGCTCTGTTCTGTGATTCGCCTTCGTGACTCTGAACGAAATGACTCGAAAAAAGATTCGTTCATTTTGATGAACGAGTTCGAACAGGAGAGTCACGAACGCGAATCACAGAACAGAGCAAGGCGAGGATTTGTGCTTATAAAAGTTTAACTTTTTTATTTATTTTTGAAATGACAGATCGTTTCGCAAGATAAGACCCTTATTCATCGTCTGGTGTCGTTTAAAGCCCTTTGAAGCTGCACTGAAACTGTCATTTGGACCTTGAACCGTTTGGGTCCCATTGAAGTCCATTATATGGAGAAAAATCCTGGAATGTTTTCATCAAAAACCTTAATTTCTTTTCGACTGAAGAAAGAAAGACATGGACATCTTGGATGACATGGGGGTGAGTAAATTATCAGCAAATTTCTTTTTAAAAGTGAACTAATCCTTTAACTTTCTGTTCAGCTCCTGTAGAAAACCGCAGAAAAAACAACAACCTTCGCATTCACGACACGCACTGAGAACTCGATCCACACACATAAATCGCTCCGTTCCTTCCTGTAAATGACCTCGTCTTAGAAAACCAGATAGTTTAGCGTCGCCTGAATCATGTACAAATGATTCCTTTCCCCTAAAACAACTCTCCTTACAGTTACCTTGAGGTTCCTCGGGTCCTCGTATCTAAAGAAATAGACAATAAAAATGATTATTGTAGAAATTAAAAAGATTCTGCTGTTGTATGAAGTGAATTTGCAATTGATTTATTTTCTTAGTGTAGTTGTTTTCCATCTCAGGTGCTCCTACTACGTGTTGATTAGACGTCTGATTCATCGTCACGCTGCAGGCCTCCGCTGTGATTGTATTATCCTTATGATTATGCGAGCGCTGTTTTCATTCACTTGGAAGAGCCAGTTATTACATGTGATTTTCGAGTCAGATCAGTTCTAGCAGAAAAAGGATGGCTGTTGCGTCCATGAGCATTTTGAATAGATTTCTTGTTATGCTAAACCAACCAAAGACGCCGTGTGCAGGTGAAGAAGGCAAACAAAGACACTTAATGGCTTAACATTACATTGACGAATGAGAAAATGAAGAGCCGCACACTTACACTGGAAGTTTGTTTGGGTTTAAATGCCATTTAGGATGTGAAATTGATAACACACAATAATAGACGGGTGTTAAACATTTTTTTCCTGGTTTCACAGACAAGACTTAAGCCTATTCTCAGACTAAAATGCATGTTTGAGCTGTTTTAACTGAAAGCAACTTTAAAAAACAACATATTTTCTTGAGTGCCTTGTTTCGCCTCGAGATGCACACCAGTAATGTTGTTTTTCTAAGGCATGTTTTGTCCTGTCTGTCTGTGAAACCAGGCCTTAGTCTGTGAATTTTTATTAAAATATTATTACAATAAAAAACACTTTCTGTTTTAATATCTTTTAAAATGTAATTTATTCCTGTGATCAAAGCTGAATTTTCAGCATCATTACTCCAGTCTTCAGTGTCACATGATCCGCCAGAAATCATTGTAATATGATGATTTGCTCAATGTTTCTTATTATCAAACAGTTCTGCTGCGAACAATGTGGCAACCATAATCATTTTGTTCAGGATTCTTTGATGAATACAAAGCATTTATTTGAAATGGAACTCTTTTTTTTTAACATTTATAAATGTATTTTCTGTCACTTTTGATCAATTTAATGCATCCTTGATGAGTAAAAATATTAATGTCTTAAAGTCCCCCTGTTAGTTGGGGGTCTTAAGCACATAAATAGGTGATTTCGTGCAAATTCATCTAAAAGCGCCAAATTTGGCACAGATGTAGCACAGGTCATACCGAAATGATTTAGCTAGGGCGCCGGAGACAGCGACCCTGGGGGCCAAGATGGCGGCCAAATCCAATATGGCCGCTGCCCGAAAAGGGTTCCGGCTATAACTTTTGAACCACATGAGTTACAAATACAAACTTGATATGTTTTTCAGCTTAATTGATAATGGGAAATGTGTATATTTAACCCGTTTAATCCCAAATTTTTTCTTGCAACTTGAGTACATGCATTTTACTCCTTAGACCTCCCTAACACTCAAACATTATGCCTTTTTTGATTTTATGTTGGTTAAGTTAGTGGAATATTAGGTTTTATACTCGGTCACAATAGTGACCGGTGGGAAACAACATAGTCAGAATTAATTCAAATTCTTCAATTAGACCTATTGACACAATTCATTCCAAGACATCCAATATCTCGTTTTGTCATTTCGTGAAGAAGGCTTAGTGAGGTGAAAAGGTTGTCATGTACAAAGTTACACCCTGGAGGAACTTCTGCTTGTTCAGCTAGACCCGTATGGGCTAGACCATGACTACACTTGGGCCCTGTCCTAGGCCAGTTTCAGGGAGATGTGTGTTCACTCATTCAGTGCACTGAAGGTGGGCCGTACGTTGTAGAAAGGGTTGTTTGTGGTCATGTGTGGGGCACACCAATTGGTTCTCATGAACATCTGCCCAATCCTCCAGATAATTCACCTCTGCATCGCCATTCAATAGTCTACTTGGCAAATAGGCTGTTTCACCCATGGTACTCCCTATCTGAGCCATCACTATCACAGTAACTTTCAATTTGGGGGGGGTGGGGGGGGAAGGGGGTCACGTACGTCAAGAAGGTCCAGCACATTGACCGTTTCTGGGACACTCATCACTACACTGAACAAAATTATAAATGCAATACTTCTGTTTTTGCCCCCATTTTTCATGAGCTGAACTCAAAGATCTAAGACCTTTTCTATGTACACAAAAGGCCTATTTTTCTCAAATATTCTTCACAAATCTGTCTAAATCTGTGTTAGTGAGCACTTCTCTTTTGCCAAGATCATCCATCCCCCTCACAGGTGTGGCATGTTCAGTGTAGGATTGCCAAAACCTGCCAATACCAGCCAATACCACTGTTTTCAATTGAAGCACTGTGTTATACTACCGTTAACAATTGTGACCGTAAACAAATTTACAAGTCTTACGAGCAAAATATATATGCAGGAGTATAATTCTCAAAATAGATCAGTAGTAGACCCTTTAAAGAATAAATGTACAAAATATGATAGTTCTATATGTAAATTAAGATGTTTTATATACTACTTTTTGTAGTAGTCTGAGGAAGACATCTTCTTCTAGATGTGCAAGCAGGAAGTGAACTGATCTGGTCATGTGACCTTTCACACTAGTCACATGACATTAATTGATTTTAATCAAGACAATCTATTTTGTCATTTAAAAGTTGAATTTCTTGCCCAAAGTCAATAAAAACATTTTTAGAGCTTCCAGAAATAAGAAAAAAGCTGCGATCACAATTGACCGGTGGGATTAAACGGGTTAAGACCCAGTATATCTGGACCCCTTGATCCTCCAATACCAATATGGCCGCTGTCCAAAAAAGCAGTTTGGGCTGTAGTATGGGGCCTTACACCCCATTGTTCGCGCAAATTAATCTACAAGCACCAAATTTGGCACAGATGTAGCTGAGGGCATACTGAAATGATTTAGCCAGGGCGCCCGAGCCAATGGTCCTTGAGACCAAGATGGCGGCCAAATCCAATATGGCCGCCGCCTGAAAGGGATTCGGCTATAGCTTTTGAGCCAGATGAGATACAAATACAAACTTGATGTCTATTTTACCTTTTTTGACCATGGGAAACCCATAGGAATACTTACATTTATGATTGGGTATATCAAGACCCCCCAAATTCCCTAAATTCAATATGGCCGCTGTCCGAAAAAGCGTTTTGGCTACACATTTTTAATTAAATGCGCTACAAATGAGGATGTGATGTCTTTTTAATGTTTATTGACCACAGGAAGTCCATTGGCATATTTATATGTATGCTTGTGTATGTCTGGAACCTGTATTCTTTTCAAGACTGTGGTTGAAAATCCTTTTTTTACCACAACTTTGAAGGTTATTCTCAATGTTGATTCATTTCCTTATAAAAGTTTAAATGTTTTTCAGTGTACCACAGGTGAATACATTTAAAAGTGTAATCATATAAGAAAGAATAAGACACAGTTATTATTGCAAGGCAATATTTATATTATCTCAAACTAATAAAAGAATAATATGTAAGTGCTGTTGCCATCTGGCTCCAGCGCCCTAGCTAAATAATTTCAGTATGATGTGAGCTACATCTGTGCCATATTTGGCGCTTTTAGATGAATTTGCGCGAAAATGTGCTTAAGTTTTTAATCCTGTTTATATGTCTATGTGTTGTGGTTAATATGCTTTAATATGTAAATTCATCAATCAACACCATTGCTGAGTATTTTCTCCTTTGAACGGCAGTGTCCCAAAGAAAGTCTGAGCACAAGAAAAATTTGATAATTATAGCGATGTAGCAGGTGAATCATGTATATGTGCTATGAAGAACTATATGCTTTTCTCCACTGACTTTCTATGATGCTTAAAGTATTTCTAAGTATGCTGATTGCTAGAAGATGCCGAACGGGAATATGGTTTGTGTAACTTTAGCAACACATTATCAGCTGTTTGATAGCATAGTCAAGACAAAGGCTAATCATATCAATTACCGTTCTGTGTTCAACATCGAGAGCGATACATAAAATTATGTATTACTATTCTGATACATTGACCTGTAGACGAGCCTGTATAATTCACTCTTCCTCTTCTTCTGAATCAGTTTCTTGTTTAAACATATATTGGCAGAATTAAACCAGTATTTCCACTGGCCATTGTGCAGCGTTTACTACAGTAAAGCTGACTGAGTGGATCAGGTAATCCGAGCCGGTGTGAGTGAGTGGAGGCGGGGGCTAATTTGCATATTCATCATTCCACATATACTAAATGAAGCAAGGGTGTAAAGTTACATTCAAGCTATTTTAACCCCATAGCCATTACATATTTAAAACAGTAATATCCTATACTAAACCTAAACTAATATTGACAAACTATATATCATTTGAAAGCTTACAATCTGTAGTGTAACAATATTTGGTGATTGATTTTCGAAATAAATTACAGAAGAGCCGTAATCTATCAATTTGCAACAATAATATTTTCATACCCCTAAGGCGTGTTAAGACCTTTATTTTGAAATAGTGTTGAACATGAAAATCATGAAAGAATGGTAGAAACCTCAGTTTGTTTTCATGCCAATAGTTCAAAAGATAACATTCATTCAATATTTTTTAGAAAAAAAGGTCTGAAAATGTTTTAAATATAAAGAAAAAAATTCTAGATTCACCATTTGTGATGTTGCAGCGAGCTATAACGCATATGCGTGTTATTTTTATGTGATTATTGAGGTTGAATTCATATCGAAATATGCCAAACTTCCCTTACTACTTCTGAATAGGATCCCTACTTCATAAATTGTATGAAAATTGTGGAAACAATG